GAGGAATATTTTTATATTAAATAATATCCTTAATTATATAAATAGATTTTAGTATCCAAAAAAATAAAACATTTTTTACAAGTAAAAAATTCATGTTTTAAATGAACTTATATTTTTTTTAGTGATTGTAAAAAAATTTATTTAATCATACTTCTAAATTCGAAATATTTAACTAAATTGAGTCGATCTCGAATAAATTTGTTCATTGTTAATAGAGTAAGAGTAATAATAATGAGCTTTCATTGAAATTTGAAAATGTAAATGAACACAAATTTCTTTAAAATAACTAAAAGTACAATGCTGTTTGAAAGTATGATAATAGGTGTTTTTATATATTGTTTTAACCAAAAGAGGATTTAAGTTGATGGGTAGATGGTAAAAAAACCAGAGGACTAGTGAATATGTTGGTTACCCTTTTTGTTTGATGAGGTGAATGAAGGATCATCCTGGCCCAGAAGGAAGAGAAGATAGATGAGTGTGATGGAAGGACATTGAGAAGTGTCTTTTCAGTTGTTACCCTTCCATGCTTTGATTTCAGAAGCAATTGCACAACTTCAACTGTTCATTCCACCCTTCTCATTAACACCTGATGTTGACCTCACCTCTTCAACTTACAATCCTGGGGTGGTTGTGTATGTCCCACTCTCATTTATCAATATACTATTTCTCAGTACCAAACTAATTTCTCTCTCTTTTCAGTTTCAAACTGTTTGCACTTACCTGGTAAGATTTAATCATTTTATTATAGAACCATGGCATTAATTGATGTTTGTAAAATTACCTAAATAATCAATTTATTTCTTCATCTGTGACAATCAATTTTTTTATTACATGATATTTAGTCTCTAATATATATATATATATATATATATATATACAATTTTATTCAACGTAGTGTGTAGATTATAATTCTTAGAATCATTTTTTATATTGAAATACTTTTCAAATGAGTCCAATTGACATAAATAAGATGTGAATTACTCTGAGTTGTTTCTATTATATTTTAGGCGTGTGTGATTCACTTGATGTGAGTTACTCTTTTTTAACAGTGGTATCAAAATTATGATGGATACACGAAAAGTTTGAGATTATGTTATTTGATGACCATCTACACATCTCAGTCATTATGTTTGAAGATGGAACGGTACAAAATTGAGATAGGAAGGAATTTCTATGACCACCTTAATAAATTCAATTAATATATCTACCTAATATCATATATGACAAATTTTAAAAAAAATCTAAAAATCATTATTATTATTATTATTATTATTATTATTATTATTATTATTATTATGCTGAAAAATAATTTATATTTACTTAATATAAAAAATATTATGTTTAAAAAGTATTTAATAAAAACTTATATTCACTATTATTATGTCATAAAATATGAATAAATATAAATATATACAAAATTCTTATTAAGATCAATTTTTTTACTTATTTTTTGTGTAATCTAGGTTATCATATCAATCAAATAAAAAAAATATAAAAATATTTTAATTATTTAAATAACAAGTATTGATTAAGTCCATCACATATATAATATTATATAATTATATATCATCACATCATACTAAGTTCGTGTATCTAACATGATACATTTTTTAGAAGATTGGGATTATGTTCGAATGTTTAAATCAATATTATACTTAAGGAAAAATTATGTTTTTTTATAATACACGTTAGCTGTATATTTTGCATGTCTACAATAAAACAAAATTAGTATTGTGAAAATTATTTCCTGTAAGTTTTCTCTCCTACTCGAGATACATAGGAGAAAATTTTAGAAAGAGATGATAAAAGATTCATGAGAATAATATGTGAACAAATATTATTGTACTTGTTCGTTTAATCCTTGTAGAAAATTACATAACTTCAAATTTTCTTTAAGTAAGTATTGACGAAACAATACAAGTACATTTGGATTGACAAATACAAATTGGATCTGGTCTAAAATTTTTAAGTTCGTCCCAAATAACTCTCAACTTTGTAAAATATTTATTAATATTAAGCTCACCTTACTTCATAGATGAGGCTTCGAATTATAATCGAGAGACATAAAAAGATCACTTTGAGAATATCTAGATTTCAAATCCTTCTAGATTTCATCTGTTTGATTCATCCATAGGATGCTTTGTCATATTAAGAGAGAAATAAAATGAACAATCAATGAATACATAATATGCATATGTTGAATTTGACTTTTGTGGTTAAGGAGTAATGTCATCAATGAATTCAACTTTGTTTAGCAGTGATCATAGATCTGTTCCATAATTGATAGTTACTGTAATTCAAGGATAGGTGATACTAGGGCAATGGTTAGGTTCTCACTCGGGTATACATGAGTGGTAGTTATTGGAATTAAAGACATGTGAGACTAGGGCAATTGTTGGTCTCACTTGGGTATACATGAGTAGTAGTTATTGGGATCAAGAACAAGTAAGACTAGACAGACTGGTATATATGAGTGGTAGTTTATTAGAATCAAGGACATGTGAGACTAGGACAATTGTTGGGTTCTCACTCGAGTATAAAAATATAATGAAGCTGACTCATTTTACCATCTTTATTTAAATTTAGAAATAATCAAAATCAAATATAATAGAAAAAATGACTTTTTAATTCAAAGTTTTGTTTAGATATAACCTCTCTTTATTATTTTAGTTTTATTTATTATATTTATTTTCATATGAGTTTTGGTGTACTGAATTTTGAGTAAATTTAAAGAATTTTATAAATATTTATAAAAAATATTTTGACTTAATATTTTATTTATAAAATTTTCTAAACAGTTAAAATATATTTTTATATTTAAACATCACGTGGTTATATTGATATAAAGTTTTGAACTTTTTAAGAGTAAAGAAATAATTAGCAAATGGAGGTTGGAAGCATTATTGATGACTAAAAATGAGGTACTATAATGACATCATTCGAGTTCTCTAAAACATGAAGTTTGTACCATTTGCTACTATCAATATCATTTCTAACATCACAAACATATAAATTTGTTGGTTCAAATTCAGGGTATAGGATACATAGGAAGAAGTTTAATGATGTGAGAGAGAATGTTTCGTTTTTTTTTTTTTTTGTACAACTGGAATAATACTTTTTTTTCTTTACATCTATTTAAAAAATATCTTTAATATTTTCAAAATTATAATCGAATTAAATTTTATATCCATTTTTTCTTAAATTAATATTATAATATCAATGTTATATAAATAATATATTGTTTAAAAATAAATATTTGATACTTTATTTTTATTATTACGATTAAAGACAAATATTACTTTTATTATCATAATTTATGTTTTTGTTTAATATTTATTGTTTTGAAATTATAATATAAATTATAAAACATAATAATTTTGTTAATTAATTAGTATAATGATATCATCAAACCCGACCTAATTAAAATTAAGTTAAATTATAAAATTAAAAGAAATGTTAAACTCATCCAACTCAGTTAAGATTAGGTCGAATTATTAACAAAATTAAGATCAATTTAGTCCAATTAATAGTTCCATTCTAACTTAGACTACTTACACTTCATATCTATAGTTAAATTTTTAGGTTAAATTGGATAAAAAATTATATAATTAATTTTATTTTTTATTTTTTTATAAAGGCTAAGTATCATAATGAAGGTATAATCCTAACTAGGTTATCACTATTATCATCATCTATCCTAAATTATATAATTAAATTATAATTGAGTAAATTACTTTTATAATCAGAGGAGATATAAAAAGAAGTGGATAAATATAAAAGGAAACAATAATAAATCTATTCATGAAATTAAAGAATTAAAATATGTACTTTATGCATAAAAGAAAACAATAAATATAATCTACTCATCAAAATAAAAATAAAATATGAAATAGAAAACTTTAAGATACGTAAACATTTACATATTTCAACCATTATATATTTATGAATTTTAATATTTATGTGTTTAGTGTTTCATATACAAATATTTTTAAAATGGAACACTGAACAAAATATACATCACAATGAAAAGGTAAAGAAAAAGTAAAACAATAAAAATTTGCGTAATTTGTTAGCATTACACAAGAGATTCTAACTGGTTTCTAATATTAAAAATTATGAAACTAAGGACCTTAATTTAATCATAATATAAATTAATCTTATATTATTTTACTTTTGATCTAAATTAATAGAATAACTATTTCAGTTTTAATATATATTGGAAAAATAAACTTATATTTTCTTTTACGTTATACTAAATGTTAGATAGACATCTTCTTTCATGATTTTTTAATAAAATGATAATTACATCTTCTGTAACTTTTAAAAGACACTCACATTTCTTATGTTTTTATTTAAATCATACTTCTCTAATTTTTAAAATTAACTCACCTAAAACGATGATTATATTCTATTTAATTAAAAAAACACTCTCACCTTTCTCATGTTGTTTTTAAATGATATTGATCTTTTTTTATGTTTTAATAAAATGTAACCCATCTCTTGTATTTTATTTAAAAATAATATATTGGCTAAAATTCAATTAAAATTAATTTTAAAATATAAAAATTATTGTTTTTTTTATAAATGAAAAATCGAATAATCTAATATGAAAGATGTAATGGTAATTTATTGAAAATTTAAAATAAGATGAATATCTCTTTTAAAATTAAATGGAGTGTAACTGTTTATATTTTCCTATATATATTTATGATTTTCACATGTGGACACATTTTCATTTTCCACTCACACAAGGAAAACTGGATACAAATGTTTGGGCTTCAAGACCCCTCATGGGCCCAACTATGTGAGGCTGAGAACAAAGGACTGGATTGCTACTATGTTCTTTCTTTTTTTCATTTTGCCACTTCGTTGCAAAATCCCACTTCCATGTGCACTGCACTTCTTCTTCCACAATGTGTACCTGAAACAAACCACAACCTCTTCGACAGAAAGGAATTAAGTGTTTTTTTCGTATTTAATATATTCGAGAGAAGAAGAAAATGTCTGCTTCCATTGTTTTTCACAATTTTTGTTCCATGGCTTCTGGTTTTCCGAACTGCCGCCAAAACCGAACCACAGTTCCTACCAGTCATCCTTTTCGATCACCCAATTCCCTCTTGAGTTTAAAGAAGCAAACTTTCCACTCAATCACACATTTCAAGAGTTCCAGAACCCAGAAACCTCGTCCTAGTTTTAAAGTTTTCGCAGCACAATCCAATTTCCTTAAAGGTTAGACGCATTTTTTTTTTCATTGAATTATTTAGCATATGTTTAAAAAAGGTGAAGGATTGATAATTTTAATTTTGGTTTAGGGGTTTTGTTGTTAGCAGAATGTTCTATGGACAGGGTGATGATTGTTGGATGTTAGGAAGTTAGAAATATTAAATATTAAATTGTTGTTTAGTTAAGTGTTATGCTAATGAGTTTGCTAATACATATGATTTATCTCCTTTGCCAAATTGTGGTTAGAATTTAAGTAACACGTATCAATATAATCTTCAGAACATTTTCTTTGTTGCAGCTATTTTAACAACAAACTAGACCTTTCACCCGAATTAAATTTTTCCTGAGGAAGCTTATAGTTCACTGAAAACGAATGAAATAAGCATCACCTTCATTCAATTGTGTGGTATTTTGGTTTAAATTGTAATTTGGATGCTATGCTCTATCTTCCACTGTCAATCATATGCATAACGATGACAAAGTGGGCAAGGATTATTGGGTCTAAATGGTACCAAACTATCAAGTCTCAAGACATTGGAGATTTTGGGATATAGAAAGCTGGCCATCTTTTAACAGCATTGCTGTTTCTTGAATGGATGCATTTGCCCCATTCCCATGCCTTGTGTATGACATGTCAAATCTCCCTGAAGTCGGGTAGCTTAAATTCAAAACTTATTCCTGAGATTTTTCACATAGTTTTCTATATATATGTGACTGCGTGGATGGTATGATCCTTTTATAATAGCAATCATTATTGATTCAACCTGGTAATCGTGCGCCTTTTCTTAATTTCATCAGGCGTCAAAATGATGCTAGCAAATGGTCTTAAGTTGATGGACCTTTATTCAAAGGAAAACACCATTTGATTGTGAATTGTTGCAGGTTGAGCATATCTTGTTATTTTTCCTTTTTGAATGGGGAACATTGACTTTTTGCTGGCCTGTTTTGTATCAATAATCCTGGTCGTTTTATTTATTCTACTTACTTTTACCATTTTATTTTTGCTTGTCTATGAAGCCTGATTATTGCTCTTTTGTGCAACTCTTTCTGTAATTATAAATAGTTCTGCAGAATGCATGGAAAGTTGGAAGGGATGGAATTGAGGCAGGGACTAATCTGGTTCCGGTAAGTCAGAATCTCCCTTTCAAACTTAAAATTACTGTTAGATATATTCAAGCAATTCTCTCAAATTTGTTACAAATACTGGTTTTTAAGTTTCTCTTTTCTTTTCTTCTCTACACTGATGCTAGAATTCTGTTCCAAGGCCAATAGCAAGGATTTCAGTAACAATTGTGGCTTTGAGTGTTACGCTTTTTGTACTCAAGGCATTTCTCTCAACTGCTTTCTTTATATTGGTAAGTCATTTGATTTATTTTTGTCATCAAATTAAAATTTGAGGATTATTTATTTTGTTTTATAATACAAATTCTTAGCATGAAATCAGTTGTCATGTTCATGCATTATTCTGAAGCCAATTTTTGCTTATTACTGCCGCTTCAATATTGAGAGAGAGAGAGAGAGAGAGACAAACAGATGGAGTGGTCATAAAGATGTTGACAAGAAGTCAACAAATCTAGGTCACAATATCAATTCCACTGTTCAACACTGCCAAAACCGTTTTTTATAGTCTAATAATTTAGGGTGAGGTTATCATTCCTCTCCATTAAGATTAGATGTTTGCATATTTTGTGGCTATTTTCCAATTAACAAATCACACAAGTAGCTGTATATAATTATTGAAAAAGAATTTTAAAAGATATGAACAAAAAATTGTTGCAATATCTCAAATAAATCCCCATCTAGTTGTGCTAGTTTTTTGTTTTTTTGATTCCCATTGCATAGTTTTCTTTTATACTGGTTGCTCCCCTACTCATCTTCTCGTTCTGAAGCTTTAGGGCTGAATTGCACCTTTTTGGCTTTGTGTGTATACCAAGAAAAATAGACTCCATTTATTATAACGTGGCTTTGCCAAATCAGAAGCACTTTTCCAAATCTTCAAGTATAAAACTTATAAGTGATGATACAACTGAGCAATTTTGTTTTTATTTTTCTTGTCTTGTTTTTCAATAAAAATGCGGTCATCAGTACATCATCATTCAGCATTTTGGTTGAGTACATAGTTCTCTTCAGAAGATTTCAAAAGTCTATGTGTTGTTTTGTTTATGCATAGCAGTTTTAATTTAACTATTACATACAAGCCATACCAAGGTAATTGAGGGGAGCTTTACAAAGAAAAAGGGATGTTTATTCCCCTTGAAATTGTCTCTAAAGCTGAATGTACTTTCACCAAAATAAAAGCTGAATGTATCCATATTTTGGTGATGATTCTAAGCTTTAGACTTCAGTGCTTTATGCTGTGGTTAATCCAAGTGAATTACTTTTTCATAGGCCACTATAGGACTTTCATACTTTGCATACCTAGCATTCAATAAAGATCAGGGACCTAGCGGGAACGGAGGAACTACCTCCACAACACCTATGGATGATCCTGTGGAAGAAGCGAAGAAGATAATGGAAAAATACAAGTAACCCCATCAGAGTAGGTATTCTGAACCACTCAAATTCTGCATTATACATATGTTCAATGTAATTTGTGATCCTGTGAGTATTTCTTTATTGAGTTTGGAAATTTGTTAGATGAAATTGTCGTCATTTATGTGAAATGACATTTCCCATTTCTATAGATCATATTACATAGCCTTTAACACAGTCTCATTGCAAACATTTTCCATTGGTTAGATGTTAGTTTTCTCTTCTTTTTTTTGGTGAATTTGCATAGATATTAGTTAAAGCATGTTTGGATTTGCTTAAATTTAGGGGAAAAATATTTTCTTTCAACAATTATCTGAGAAAAAAAATAGTTATAAACTGTTTTGAACATAAAATAAACATAAAAATTTACTTGGGGCGCATTTTGGAAAAATTAAGCACATAATTCATAAAACACTAACCTAGATAAATATTTCTATGAACACTTGGAGTAAATTTTTCTATGGACACTAATCTAGTAGCATGGTAGTCTCATTGGCTTCTTCATCACTATCTTCATGTTCATAGTTTTCATTCTGATAAAGTTATGTAAAGGCAACAATCCACAATGACTTCATTCTGTGTCTTCGAAGCAACTTCCATCTGGCTTTGCATTAAAAACAAAATGCACGTTCAATTGTACCTCGATGACTAGAATAATAATAATTGAAAACTTCAACTTTTTCCTTGATTCTGGGCCCTTTTATGAATGGTGGTAGATGATATCTATTTCTGTTATGTGGTCCCAAAAACCCAATAAAACTAGGGTAGCCAACATCAGCTAGATAACCCTAAACCCTAAATATATAACTCCCAACTACAAGTCCTCGCAGAGCTTTCAACTTACTACACTTGTAGTTGGGTCATCGTGAGTACTACATGTTTTAAAACTTCTTTTTTTAATTTGGGACTAAAAAAGTTATCTTTTAATTTGAGGGGATAAATCATTTGGTATTTTTATGTGATATTTTTAACATCATCCAGAAGAAGATAGTGGAGTAAAGCTTAAGAGAATAACGAAATTCGGATTAAAGCTTGTAAAAATTCAAGTACATTAAATTTAAATTGTTTAATTTTTTAAATGTTTTGTTTGAACAAGACAATTCAATAGTATTTCAAATATTATTAAATATAAATATTATTATTCCTATATATATCAAGTAGACCTAATTCATGAGTTAAGTTAGACTCAAACTGATTATAGTAAATAAAATTAAGTTAAGTCAGATCAGATAAACCAGATAGATCGGGTTTATAAGATAGGTTTAGTTGAATCATATTGTATTGGGTTGAAAATGTTATATTAAGTTGAGTTAGACTATTGTTTGTAGTCTCATCGTTATTGGATACTGATTCGATTCATTGTTTTTGGTTTCATTGTGCTCTGCACTTGAGTTTGAAAGATTACGCCCATTCCCCATAACTGAATATTGACATGATCGAATATTTATTTATCTGATCCATACACACAACAAACCTGGTTTTTTACTCAAATAATACACTTTTCAAAATAATCTACCTAGTGACAATTTATTTACCAAATTAAAGAATTTGGTAATGCATCGGAAACTCGTTTAGAATTCAGCTTCTGGATTGAATTTTGATCTGGTTTTATAATTTTTAATTTTATTTTATTATTTTACATTTTGACGAGGTTTTATAATATTAAAATATAATATTTTATTAATTTATATTTTATAAAATTCTAATTTTTAAAATAAATAAGTATATTATAAAAATTAAATAATTTTTATTATTTAATATTCTTTATTAATTTTGTGTATTAATATCTATAGCCACTTCAAATTATATTATTATTAAACAATTAAATATTATTATTAAAATGAATATTAATCTTATAATTAGAATGAATGTGACCATTTGTTGAATAATTCCTTCTAAATGCAGAACAATTTTTCAAAGATTAGTTGTTCGGTTAGTCACATTTCATGATAGGGGACTGTATTATTTGGTGGATTTGATATGACAGACTGATGCTGATGAATAGTCTTTCACAGTTTTGAGATTGTTTGGAAAATATGTGTAACCCCATCTTGTTATATATTTTTTGAGAGATTAATTAGGAAATACACACGTGGAATCTTTATTATTTTCCAATATTGCTATCTGGGCAATATTTTTCTACATGAATACACTGTAAACTTAAATTGGTTTCAAATTTATCTTTTATATGCAATTAAGAATAATGTAGAACCTGTTCGGCAGGGATGCACAACAATTCTGTGGTTTAAACGTGACTAAATTCTGGGTGAAATTTGTTTATAATAGATTGGATGTTCAGTTGTGATTATGCTTCCTGACCCTCCTCATCATCGTTGACACTTATAATAAGCTTGTCCTTACTGAAAAGTTTAAAACTTTCTCTTGGAAAACTTACAAGTGCATGATCTAAGTTTTCTTTTGGATTGGGTGAGGATGAGATCTTCACTGAAAATAAAATAGAGATCAGAAATACAACCACAGTCAACTCATTAAAAAAATTATAACTTCAATCTTATCATTCAATTAATAATATGAAAATAACCTACAATAACATTTCAACAATAATTATTGTTATGATATTTAATATATATATATATATATAATAAATATTAAATAAACATTTTTACTTATCTCTTTAATTTGTTTGTTATTCACTTTAAACTTTAATATTATATTATATTTACATTAATAATATAATTATAAAACTAATATTCATTTTAGTAATAATATTAATGGTTAATAATAATAATAATAATATAATTTGTAGTGGTTTTTTATATTAATACACAAAATATTAACAAATATATTAAATAATAAAAAATTACTTTTTATAGTGTACTTATTTATTTTAAAAATCAAAATTTTATAAAATAAAAAAAATTGTGTTTTAAAATAAAAAAGCTCATCAAATAATAAAAAGAATGAAATGAACTGAATTTTCAGTGTCAGTTTGCCTTTTTCAAATGTCAGATTTCAATCAATCTTTTGAAATCGAATTGTAAAGGAGAATATACTTAACTGGTATTTGTGAAAAAAAATTCACTGCACCTCTCTGTCCCTAATTGTTAGTGATGAATGGAATTATGATCCTAGATCCCAGTACGACAAATCAAACATTAATTGTTTCTGTTTGGCGTAATTGTGGGATTTTCTTTCCTAAATATCATGGACTTATTGGTGCCAATTAAATGCAATCTCCTATTTTGGGTTGGCGTTGGAGAAAGTCTCAGAAATTTCGGAACGTCATTTAAATAATTTGATTTATCCTCGCCATTACAAAATTTATGACTAAAATCAATAAACACAATATTTAATTTGTCTGCATGGGTTAGTTTAGCAAATAAGGAAGCCCCAAATATTAAAAATGATTAAAGTTCGATCATAGATCACAAATCTAAATTAACGCCGCTAATACAGTTCCTCAAACAATATTCCTGTCAAATTTTGCACAAATTTTAGTCATTTGCATTAGGCGTTTTCATCAAAAATTTTCTTAAAACTTATGTTTAGAGCATAGGGATCCAAGAGAAAATTACTCTTTTTCTATCACCGTAAAAACTTCAATAATATTTAAAATTCATCCAGTAAATCTACACAAGACATGATTGGAATATGAAGTCATTTAATGGTTTCACAAAAATAAACAAGCAAGGTCATAAATGGAGAAGATAGTACCATGAAACAATGGCTTATTTTGTAGCACAAAGTCATCACGTCACTCCAATAGTAGTCATGGTTTTCACGTATTCAAGAGTTTACTTTCCATTCAGGTTTAAAAAATTCGAAATTTTCGGCAAGGGCTGAATCCACACACAAAACAGAAAATCCTCGTCAAAACTTAAACAAGATTGAGGCATAAACACGATGATGTTGGAGTTGGACTGGTACACGGAAATAGAAAATTAAAGATAATATATGTGCGAGAAAAGTAAAACAAAACAAAAAAAAGGGGGGGAATGAATGATTAGAAAGAAGATGTTTGTTCACATGTTGTGTTAGTCCTGCACCATTGGAAAAGTATGTTCCCACCATGCTGAACAAGGTTATCGCGGTGGATTCAGTTCTTCAGGTGTGGATTCTTGTTACAAATCTCTATATCAGTTCACAGGTCTGAAGATTTCACTGTTCTTCAACATGCTTATAAAGATGGAAACATTATCATTTGGGGTTCAGAAAAAATGTATAAATGCAGAAACAATCTTTACATTTAGTGGTGGTAGCCAACACCTGAGGAAACAATACGTGGTCCAAGCAATTGCATCAAATATGAAAGTGATTTTGGTTTTATTTTTACATGGGAATTATTTACAAACACAAGGAACAATAATGATATTGATGATTCTTCTTTTCTTTCTTTTTTTTCTCAAGATAGAACAGAAAATGAGTCAAAGGGTCAAAGAATATAATAGAAGATTGAAGAAGAAGTGATTAGCAAAATTGAGGGAGAATAATGGAAGTGAGTAATTGGTTTGAGGAGCGTGGGATTGAATAGGGTTAGTAGCAATCATGCTGAGGTCATTATCAGTTAAAATAATGGTTTTTGCATGAAACAAACCACTCAAACTTGTTTATGCCCACTTGCCTCCACTTTGTAGGACCTTATGGGAGGCATAGGTGCTTATAAAAGGCTGTATTAGAAGTCTTAACAAGCCTTTTCAAAAAGTAGATTAACACAAATGATGGAAAAGTTAAATACCATCATGACTCCAAGATTATCTCAATCAATTTTTCTCATCTTTTGAATCAAATACCACAACTATTTGCCACCAAGTGCCATGCTATTTCTATTCAAATAATCGTAACATGCTGGTTATCATTGCAATGTGATGTGTAATTCGATTATAAAATTACGTTAGGGGCTAAAATTCTCAAACCATTACTCTTCTTTTAACCATTCAAACAATGGAAGTGATCATATACATACAGCTTTTTAAAAGAACGGATTTTTCTTTACAAATTATCACTTAGTTTGAGTTCTTCAAATGTTCTAACAAACA